AGTCTATTCTATAAATCATAATTTTTAATTGTAGTTACATATTGTAATTCATTTATTGTGTATGATATTATTATTATTGTACTGGCTATGGTTATTTGTTTTGTGCATTTTCTTGACCTTCTGGAAGACTGTTAAGACCTGTTTTTTTCCTCCTGCATAGGGCCAGGGTGTTAGAGGAGCCCTATAAACGTGTCAATTTTTGCAAGTTTATGATATGGCATTTAGGCTTTTTTGTAGTGGATTTTTTTTTTTTTATTGTTAGAGGGGTTCATTTTATATGGTTTCTCTTACATTTTTTTTCTTATAAACTGCTTTTTAATCACTCAGAATTATGTGTTTAAGATGGATGGCCATTTAACATTTCTAAATATGATTCTTAAAAGTTGCTTTGCATGAAGTGATTAATAAATTCATAAATAAATTTACAGTTACATCTTCTGTAAAATATAATATAGTCAGAATACTCTAGCCATCCCTCTTACAATCATCTTCCTCCCTCTCCCCTTCTTCTCCCCTTCCCCCACCATCTCTCTCATGTTCTTTCTCTTTAGACTTATAGGCTGACCAACTCAACATTGACTGTGTGTGACAGATTTTTTTTTTAAAAAATGCAGTATCAGCAAATATTGCAGGGTATATTCAATTGGATAACATGATCTCAAGTGAACTTTTACTTTGACTATATAAATTGTAAATAATTGAAAAGGTGTGTAAAAGGGAAGAAAGAAGTAGAAAAAATTTGAAGGACAATATAATTCCAAAAGGTTCCATTAAATTAATATTAAACTTTTTTAAAAAAATAAAACAATATTTGAAATCAAAGAGTAACCTAGGCCCATTTATGTGTAGAAATGGCTTGTTTTTGGCTAAATACAGGATGGCCAACTCCTTGAAGTTGGCGGTCTGGTTCTTTCCCAACTAAGTTACTTATTAGAATTTTGAACCCAATAATGCTGAACTCTAATTTCTTCCATATTGGTATGTACTTGACCAGCTGAAGAACCCTTGCAGTTGTGGTTGTTAAAGACCATTAAGTCTCTCTGTTTTTTAAAGACAGAAATGCCAGTTATTTGCCAGGGCAGTTGAAGTCTAAGAGCCGCACAGCTGTTTAGCTAGCATCACATACTTCCTCTATACAAAGACAAATCCACTTCAGGAAGGTGGTGAATACCTGAATTTTTCCACAGGCAGTGTTAACGGAGTTCTGGCATGGTTATGTGGGATCTGTAGTTATGAGACTTTTATTGGAGCCTCTGTTGTCCTTTTTGTTCTTTTGTTCTTTTTCTTTAAATTGTATTATGTTTTCATGTTTGTTTGTCATCCAGATGGACAGACATGTGCATTTGTTTCATTTATTAATTGATAGTAAATATTATAAAAGGCAGCTATGCTCTTTCTTTAGAAGGTTCTTCACTAGGTGCTGTCTATGTTGAAAATGGTTTTGCATTTGTGTAGAATGATTTCTAGATTAGAAAAAGTGTCCCAGATTTTATTCTGTAGGCATACTACCTTAAAAATTGGTGTCCCAAAGACTTTTACAATATTACAGATGCTTTAGGGTGTCTTATTATTATGCAGAAAGGGCTGGGATAGAAGCTGCAGGGGTGTTACCCAAAGTACTAGATTTACATGGCTAACCAAGTAAAAGGTAGGAATACCTTTGGGCTTTTTTCCCAGTTGGACAACATTATTCTGTGGGGATGAGGAGCTTCAGAAAACGAGGGGGGGGCAGATGTGGCACACATATTGCCAGTTCATATCATTAGCATTTCAAGTAGAATATGTTTTTTCGGTGTATTTCTTTTAATAGTTTTCTAGCATCGTTGAGAATGGAAGAGAGTAGATGTTTAATTACATCAATTTGGTCTTTGAGTATGAATATAGGATTATGGCTCCAAAATAAATGTTTATATTTTTTTAGAGGAATTACACAGTGAAGCTAAATATGGTATATTCTATTGTCTTCTAAGATAATAAGAGAAGTAAATTTGGCAAGAACTTTTTACAAAATAATTTCTTAAGAAAACACTGACTTTTTCCTATTTTTTTAAAGCAAAGGTTTGTGTAATCTAACAAGTCTTAACATTCCATGCTGGGGGTTTATTGTAAGGTAGTAAAACCAGATTTTATATCTCGTTTATTCCTACAACTTCTGATGTGCTTCCAAAAATGGTATTAAGGCAGCAGCTGAGGAAATTTTATGAGATAATGAAGCAGAACAGTTACTGAAAGCCATCTGCTCAGTTGTTTACAAACTTGCTTCAATACTTCAGAGGCAGTGGTAGAGTACGTGTCTAAACTTCACAAGCTGCACTAGGTAGAACTAAATGAAATGCGCCTGGGTTGGGCTGAGCTCGATCCCTCTCTGTGCAGTCTAAGCGGTTGCCAGGCAGGCCTGTTGGAAGCCAGCAGAAAGCACCACACAGAGGTGATTATGTGCCACCATCTGTCACGCTTCAAGCCTACCATACAGCATGGCTAATCAGCCTTGGCAGGATGATGGATGAACAGCAGCAGCTGCCAAAAGCCACTGTTGGCAAACAGTCCTGAAGTTAAGAACTTTTTCCCCTCTCTGTTTTCCTCTCCAGGGTCCTGCTGCGTGTCCGCATGCTGTACTATCTGAGGCAAGAAGTTATAGGGGACCAAGCTGACAAGATCTTAGAGGGTTCTGATTCAAGGTTAGTGCAAATTCAAGTTTATTTGTGCTTCATGATCACGGTTCGTGTGAATATTTATGATCATAAAAAAGTTAAAGATTAAACATATCTGATTATGCTCTTTTATTATACTGCTGCATATTTTGGTTATTCATTAAGGATGAAGAATTGTTAATTTCATGAAATAAACTATTTTGACAGAATATCAGTGAACACTTTAATTTATAAATCTAATGTAAAGGTTTTAAAGTGGAAGAAAGTATACCGTTTGGGGATTTTTTTGCATACTTAATTTTTTATTTAGTTACAGTTATACAAGTTTGTTCCTTTGATACTTATGCCAGCATCTAAAATTATTTGGAAATGCTAACTCTTTTTTAGTGAGATTGATATTTGGATTCCTGAACCATTTCATGCAGAAGTTCCTATGGATTGGTGGGATAAAGAGGCAGATAAATCACTTTTAATTGGAGTGTTCAAACATGGTGAGTGATGTCATACTTTGAACAGAGCTTCTTGGTAAAGCTTGCTGTTACACCAATATTCAGTCATAATATTAACAAGTATAGTTCCAAAGAACTGTTGGCTTCTGTTCCCTTTTTTCCTTCTGCATTAAAAAAAAATGTATTCGAGTTGTAAATATCAGATGCTGTTTTTGAATGTTTGCAGAATATTTCAGAAGAAAACATTACTTTCTTGGCTATAAATAACACAAAACCATATTTGTTTAAATAATAGCCAAATAGTTTTACAGTTCTCCATAAACTCTGCTTCCAACATTGTTCACTTACTAATTCTGCCAGTTAGTGTCAAAGTGGATGGTGGGCTTAACCTCTGCTATTAATCTGTACAAGTGCCTCCTGGGCTTTGTTCCAAGCAATATTTCACAAATGTCAGTGCTGAAAACTATGGGCTCCCTTGAGTGGGATGAAGCCTTGTTAACTTTGAAAGACTAGGGAAGTAGAGTTGGCATGATATATACAGTGGGCAAATCCTGATTATAATCCCAATTCTCTGGAGTTCGGTGCAGCATTCTCAGTAGCCCAGATTATCTAAAGGAGAGAATGAAGTCTTATGAAATCTTTCATGATTACAATTTGGCTTGACACTGTACAGCAGTTAAGGAGAGTGTATTGTGGAATAAATCCTAATTGAATTGTGCTGCTCTGCCTATATACAGGAGTTCTGTTGTGGGCTCAACTGAGGCAAGTCTAGCCTAAAAACCACGTTGATGCCACACACTGCTGGGATCTGCCATTTTCCATCTAGTCAATGAGATCAGTAAGAAAAAACAGCAGTCTGAAAACTATGATGGGATCAGTATCATATTACAGACAGGCATCATCCTACATATTTCCCTATGTATGTATCTCCAGCATAATGCCCTGGTTTCATTGAGACCTGAACAACAAAAGAAGGTAGTTTGGTTGCATGTAGTGGAAGAAGGGCAACTCATAAGCACTTTTCTCTAGGTGTTCAGTATAAATATTTATCGTATTTCTCTTTCTCTATCACTTATTCACACATTTTTCGGGATCTTCATTGGCAGTATCACTGCTTGAAGGGATTTTTAAAATAAGGTTTTCTTAGTTTATGATCAGTATAAAAGTATAATCTGTAAGGATTCTTGTTGATAGATATTGGTCTTTTTATGTTTATCTGAATGCAGGCTATGAGAAGTACAATTCTATGAGAGCAGACTCTACTCTATGTTTTTTGGAACGAGTTGGCATGCCTGATGCCAAGGCCATTGCTGCTGAGCAGAGAGGGACAGATCTATTAACAGATGGTGGCGATGGGTAAGCAGGACATTATAAAAAAATTAATAAACGTACTGTATTGTGTATGCTGGCCTGACTTCACCTATTGCATCACATTTGTGGATTCTCATACATAGGAATGTTTCAAAATAATGTTTATGTTGAGGACAATTAAAAAATAATCATTTTTTTATTGTAACAATAGGTATTGCTGAGGAGGATTTCCTTTTGCTTCAGGATTCTTTTCTTTTTTTAATTGTCTATCATATGCTGCGTAATAAGCATTGGATAATGTTTTGAGTTATTAGCTCTGATATTTTCTGGATTTTATTTCATTTAGAGGTGATTTTGATAGAGAAGATGAAGACCCGGAATATAAACCAACCAGAATTCCATTCAAAGATGAAATTGATGTAAGATGTATTAATTTATAATATACACGCTTTATAACTAGGTTATTTTGAAATAGTGTGATTTTCATGATTGTATGTGTTGTGTATGTGTTGGAATTTAATTCTTGTCCTTAATGAAACACTATTATTCATTACATTTTCTTTTTTGTCAAAGGAATTTGCAAACTCACCTTCTGACAAGGAAGAATCTCTAGAACTCCATGCAGGTAAGATTTTGGAAAACCTTGGTGATGAATGGAAGAAAAAAGAGGATAATGATAAAAATGTGATCCAATGTATTAAAGTTTTTTTCTAGTTGTGCTATAGAATAGGTGAAAACTATGTTTCCAAGTGTATACAAAATGACATAAAGTGGATTGAGTATGAACATTTCTTTTTGGGTTATCTGCCATTGGAATACAGTTAAGAAAATTGTTCACGGTAGTAATTCAAAGGCCTTTTCATGAAATTTTGTTGAACTCTGACGGATTTATTATCAGAAGTGTTTTTGTTACCTGTTTTTATGATGATATTTTGTGAGCTAGTATTTGTCTTTAATTATGAATACCTCTTATCTACCTTGATAATATTCTCCAGGCAAGCACAGTGAAAATAGTGCTGATTTTGGTCAACTCTACTGGCCAAGCACTTCAACCCTGACTACTCGCTTGCGCCGTCTCATTACTGCCTATCAACGTAGTTATAAAAGGCAACAAATGAGGCAAGAAGCATTAATGAAGACTGACCGGCGTCGACGGCGACCTCGTGAAGAAGTGAGAGCACTGGAAGCAGAAAGAGAAGCTATAATAACAGAAAAACGTCAAAAGTAAGTTTCTTCAGGCTTCCTCATAGATGAGTATTGCCTTGCAACATAAATTACTGTCTTTAGAATGCAAGCGGATATTCATTTGGACTTTTGGAAGTATCCTGATATACTAATCTTTTTGTTTTTAGGTGGACAAGGAGAGAGGAAGCAGATTTTTATCGTGTTGTATCTACTTTCGGAGTTATTTTTGACCCTACAAAGCAACAGTTTGATTGGAACCAGTTCAGAGCTTTTGCCAGACTTGATAAGAAATCTGATGAAAGTTTGGAGAAGTACTTCAGTTGTTTTGTAGCTATGTGCAGGCGAGTGTGTCGAATGCCAGCCAAACCAGATGAAGGCAAGCCCATTGTTTTCCATAATACTAAAAGATACTTTAGATAGTTTAAGATATTTAAGGATCCATGTTTATTTTCCCTTTTATCCTTTCCTTTTTTCCAGTAGTTGTGATCACACACATGCTATAAGTTTGCAACTATAGCATTCTAATGAAATAAAGTTAGGGGGGGGAAATTTCATATTAAAGATCTTTTAATTTTTTTTAAATGTGAGTAAAGACTGCCTTCATGCTTCAGGTATTGCACCTACTAGACTTTTAACACTCAAAGGAGTGGATGCATTCCTCTGTAGAACAATTGTGACTAATAATAGACTCTTTAGAAGCTCTACTCCCTTCTCTGAACTATCACATAGACCTAGAGATTATCTATTTATTTACTATTTTTGTTAGATTTATATCCTGGCTTTCCTTTAGGAGCTTGAGGCAGAAATGATGTCATTCCTCTTCTAGGTTTTCCCCACAATATATTTCTGTGAGAATATTGTGAGTTTGGGCTGAAAGAATGTATCTGATACAGAGCCACCCACTGCTAAGAACCTCTCCAGTGCTAGTCCAACATTTTGACCACTATGCTACACTATATTTCAATAAAGGATAAAAATGAAAATACACAGCAACTGATTCTAACACTTCAGCAACTGAGCTGAGGCCTTTAAGATCCCAAGCCAAGTTTGAAACAATTAAGAGCAATTGAAACTCTTTGCGTTTGCAGAGAATAACTATAAGTACATTTGCTTTAGTTTAGGGGCAGAGTTGCTGATCGTGTTTATTTCAATTTGGAAATTATTTGAAACCCAGTGATAATTTATATTATAGAACTTTTAAAAAACCTTCTTCTTAAAATTTTGCTTGATATGTAGTAACTTTAAAACTAATTTCTATGTACTCCTTTTTTCCTTATAGAACCTCCTGATCTTTCTACTGTGATTGAGCCTATCACTGAAGAACGTGCTTCTAGAACTTTGTATCGTATAGAACTCTTGAGGAAAGTCCGAGAGCAGGTTCTCCATCACCCACTATTGGCAGAGAGGCTAAAATTGTGTCAGCCAAGTTTGGATTTACCAGAATGGTGGGAGTGTGGCAAACACGATAAAGATTTATTGATTGGAGCTGCTAAACATGGAGTCAGCAGGACAGATTATCACATTCTAAATGATCCTGAACTTTCTTTTCTTGATTCTCATAAAAATTTTGCTCAAAATAGAGGTGGTGGTAATCTAACTACCATATCTCTATTAAATCCACTGGGTGTTTGCTGTGGTCAGTCAATGTCTATTATCCCAACCTCACTAGTACAAGATGAAAAACCTACAGAACAAGCTGAGGTTAAAGTGGAAGGAGCTGAAAAAGTACCAGCCAAAGAAAAGTCTGGCGAGGAGGAGGAGGAGGAGGAAGAGGCAGCAGATGTTGCAATAAAAAGTGATAAGGAGGAGGAGGAAGCTGAGGTTGAGGTTGCTCCTGTAAAATGTGAAATAAAAGATACAGAACTGAGTATAGAAGTTGATCCTAAATCAATTTCTGAAAAAGGTTCGGAAGATGATGAAGAAGAAAAACTTGATGATGATGACAAGTCAGAAGAATCTTCACAACCTGAAGGTAATTGTAGATGCAACCTGAATTAAGAATTATTTTGACTATACTTGGCAGACCAGATCTTAGCAGTTCTTTCAATGGACTTAAAATTTTCAAGTGATCTCACTCAAACTTTTTAAAGTGCAGTACTAGGAATGCAAGACTTTAATATTTTTCTTTTCAATAAACCTTTCCACCCCAGCGATGCCCTTGAAGTGATGGCCCAGTGCCTGGAGGCTGTACGGATCTGGATGGGGAGGAACAAGCTCAAGCTCAACCCTTCCAAGACTGAGTGGCTGTGGTTCCCGGCATCCCGATATAGTCAGCTGACTCCATCACTGACTATCGGGGGCGAGTCTTTGGCCCCCGTGGAGAGGGCGCGCAATCTGGGTGTCCTCCTGGATACGCAGCTGTCCTTAGAGGAACATCTGACGGCTGTTGCCAGGGGGACCTTTTGTCAGGTTCGCCTGATTTGCCAGTTGCGCCCCTTTCTTGATCGGGATTCCGTGCGCACAGTCACTCATGCCCTCGTCACCTCTCGCCTGGACTACTGCAACGCTCTCTACATGGGGCTCCCCTTGAGGAGCACCTGGAGGCTCCAACTGGTCCAGAATGCGGCCGCGCGGGTAATTATGGGAGCTGCATGGCGCTCCCGCATAACACCGCTCCTGCGCGAGCTGCACTGGCTCCCAGTGGTCTTCCGGGTGCGCTTCAAGATGTTGGTTACCACCTTTAAAGCGCTCCATGGCATAGGACCTAGTTATCTTCGAGACCGCCTTCTGCCACCGACGACCTCCCATCGACCCGTGCGCTCCCACAGAGAGGGCCTCCTCGGGGTGCCATCAGCCAAGCAATGCAGGCTGGTGACCCCCAGGGGGAGGGCCTTCTCTGTGGGGGCTCCCACCCTCTGGAATCAGCTGCCCCCAGAGATAAGGAGAATCCAAGACCTCCGTGCCTTCCGCCGTGCCCTTAAAACTTTCCTTTTCCAACAAGCCGGGCTGGCCTAACAAATCTTTTAAAGGATTTTAAATTTGTTTGTCTTTTTAAATTTTGGGCCAAATTGAGATATTTTCTTTTAATCTGTTCTTAATGTATTTATTATGTGTTTTTATTTGGCTGTACACCGCTCTGAGTCCCTAGGGAGAAGGGCGGTATATAAATTTGAAGTAAAATAAAAATAAAAAATAAAAAAATATATTTTCCTACCAAGGAATTTCTACATCTGTCTACAAATCCTTATTTGTGTTATATATTTACCATGTTCTTAAGGCAGTTGCCAAGACTGTTTGACCTCATTATTGCTTTCTGAAAACTAAGCACAGGCTTAATCATCAACATCGCTGTGCTGTTGTAAAGAAAGATCAATAGAAATGGACAAGAGAGCTTGAGAATACAGTTTGATAGCTACTATTTTATTTGGTTCTAACAAATAAAGGGTACCATATAAATGTTTTAGAAATAGCACTGTCATCTCTGTTATTTATTTTGAACTGCAATAAAATAGAATATAAAAGAACAAAATTATATAATCAAAGTAAGAAAGCATCCTAGAAAATTATTGAGTTTTACTAAATAAAATACCATAAATTTATAAATTTTACTAAAAAATAATTTTTCTAAGAGAATTTCTTGGAGTTTTTTTCTTCTAACTTCATCTTAGAAATAAAATACATTTGTCCATTATGATGTACAGAAAATTCCCAGTACTTAGTTCAATCAAAGCTTTAATGATCGTATAAAATTTATTACACTATAAATAACTGTCCTATTTGGGGGAACTAATTTTTGGTGATCGTTATTTCTCGACAGGAATGATTTCTCGGGGTAAGAATTTTGATGAAGAAAGCAATGCATCCCTGAGCACTGCAAGGGATGAAACGCGTGATGGATTTTATATGGAAGATGGAGACCCATCAGTAGCCCAGCTGCTTCATGAAAGAACATTTGCCTTTTCTTTTTGGCCTAAGGTTTGTTCAATATATAACATTATTAATAACATTATTAATAACATTAACATAACTTTCGTTATCAGCTATGAATAACTTAATAGTGTATATCATAATTCAATTCTGTAAAGATATAGAACAGATTCTCTTCAGGAGGGATGAGAGGCACTCAAGAAGAATATGAAGTATTTACAGGTTTGGCTCTCAGCAGCTAAACATATCTGATTTTCTCAACTGAAGAGGATTCAATTAGAGGTATTCTAGCTTTTCTGCATAATAATAGAACAGGAAAATAAAGTAAAATTTCAGACTGAGACTTCCTTTTCCGTTGCCTATCACCTAAGGGATATGTTCTAGGCCTGCTATTCAGAAACCAACAACTTAAAATAAATATTATGGTATTTCCTAAATGTTGTAATGTAAATGGATTATTATTATTTTTTTTGTAATCTTAAACAAGACTTAATAGACAATCTCATAACTTTCATTTTTTTAAAATAAAATTCAGAATAGATAAAGTTCTCATAGTGAAATTGTATTAGCCTCATATACATCTCAGTTTCTGATTTCACTGGGTGCTAGAGAAAAATAAAGTAGTAAAAGTCTTAAGCTTCCTAATCACCATAACGGGGCCATCTGGATTAGGGGAAAATAACCTTGCTATAATAGGCTTATTCCTGGGGAAAACAAGCAGCTGGCTGCAGCTGCTGAAATCTGCTGGCAGCTTTTATTCTATTTTGTAGTTTAGTGAAGATTAATCCTATCTGGTTATCAATCGATAATTTCCAAATATTGATAATTACTTTGGACAAGTATTTGTGATTCAAGATACTGTTAACTGTGTGTTTCCACAGAAAGTAGCTTAAAATTAACGTATTGCTAGTTTACAATAAACTTCAAAAAATAATGTAAATCAATTAATATAGTACGGTACAAATGTACAAATAACACCACTAGCAGAAAATATAATATGTTCATGTCAAGAACAGCACACAAAAACATAATCTTTACAGCATTCAGATTTTAAAAGCAAATATTAGCCAAGTAATTTAACTTCCTTAAATTTCTTAATTTAACAAAAATTAGAAGGGCATTATATAAAGCATAACATTAAAAGTTCCAAAAATATGCAACTAAGATTCAAAGTATTTTCTATGCAGCAGTGCATGTTTTGTATTTGCTTTTATTTTGAGCATGCCGTAATTAAATTGTTTCAGTATACATGCTTGAGTGGAACTTGAAGTGATAATGGGTGTGGAATGAGAACTGACATTTATGGGATGTTCCGAGATTGGTACCCTTTTCACAAAGTTGAACTTTATTAATAGTGACACTAATAAAGAACCACTTCCTAGGACAGAATTACAGATGGTCTTGTCTCTGACCTACCTAAGACAAAGTTGTTGAGAGTAAAGATTATATTATTCATTGTGTAGTAGTTGCACTATTACTTGTCAATTCGGCTTGAGTTTTAAAATGTCTACGTAATAGCAAACACTCAGGAAAAAGTACTGCTCATCCAACAGTTTGTTTATTTTGATTACTAACAGCAATGATGTTTGTTCTTCATTTATGTGCATTCAGTTTAATTTCAGGGTGATTGGGAATACTTTTCAGATGCAGAATTTCAATTATAATTACTTTGGATCTAAAATTAGTAAATCTGTTAAACCATACAATAATGCAGATTTTGTATTTCCCTTTTGCAGGATCGAGTAATGATCAACCGATTAGACAGCATCTGTGAAGCAGTGCTGAAGGGAAAGTGGCCAGTAAATAGACGCCAGATGTTTGATTTCCAGGGGCTTATACCAGGATATACGCCAGCAGCTGTGGACAGCCCTCTACAGAAAAGAAGCTTTGCTGAACTCTCCATGGTTGGTCAGGCCAGCATCAGTGGCAGTGAAGATGTCTCTGTATCGCCTCAGTTATCTAAGGTATGTTTTGTTTAACAAAAGGAAACGGGCCAAAATAGCAGCAAAAAACACATGTGGCAATAAATTCCACTTTTGCCAGAAAAAATAAACAAAAATAAATAACATTTAGATTGAAAGTAGTTTTTATGACACATTTTTCATTAGACAAAAAACATAATTAATTTATCTAATGTTGGTCAGGCGAAAAAATATTATTGATTGGGACAGTGCCATCATATTATGCTTTTTCCATTTTTCAAAAATGCAGTAAAAATTGAACACATTTCTTTAAAAAAAGCAATGGTAAAATCATTGCTCATAATGATATATGTTAATTTTTCATTAGGAAGATGTACTCAATTTATCAGTTCCACGTCAGCGGAGGAGGCGGAGGAGGAAGATTGAAATTGAGGCTGAAAGGGCAGCCAAGAGGAGAAATTTAATGGAAATGGTTGCCCAATTGCGGGAATCACAGATTGTCTCTGAAAATGGGCAAGAAAAAATTGTAGACTTATCAAAAGCCTCACGGGAGGCAGCAAGTTCTACCTCAACTTTTTCAGCTGTTCCTTCAAAGTTTCTGTTATCTACTGTTTCGACACCAGTATCTGATGCCTTTAAAAGTCAAATGGAGCTGCTACAAGCAGGCCTTTCTCGCACACCCACAAGACATCTGCTAAATGGTTCCTTAATTGATGTCGAGCCACCCATGAAAAGGAGAAGAGGAAGAAGGAAAAACGTAGAAGGTCTTGATCTTTTATTTATAAGCGGCAAGCAAGCATCTCTGACAGCAGTAAGAAAATATTTCCATTATATTATTTTCAAAAAAAGAAAATACAGCATAATTATGATAAACATAGGGCCCAACTGTGGACCCTATGCATCTCCCTAGCTGTTCCCAGAATATTTCAGAATATGTAAAATAGAATATTTAACTTACACCTGAAGCATTTGAGAGCTGATTTTTTGTATTTGGAGAAATTTAAAGATACATGTCTCTTCTTAATTCCTATCAAAATGCAAAAAAGGGGGAAAAACATTCTTATTTATTTATTTATTTATTTATTTGTTTAAATTTCTATACCGCCCTTCTCCAATGTAGGACTCAGGGCGGTGAACAGCCAAAGTAAAAACAAGACATACATACAAAACATACAAAATCTAAAATCTGTTTAAAATAATTAAATAATTTTGGCCGTAATTAAAACATTCCAATTTAAAATCCGTTTAAAATTTGACTCAAGCCAGCCCAGCTAGTTGAAATAAATGGGTTTTTAGGGCCCGACGAAAAATCCGGAGGTCTGTTATTGTACGTAGCTCTGGGGGGAGGTTGTTCCAGAGGGCGGGCGCCGCCATTCTGGCAGCAGCTATTCTATGAATGTAGAAAATAAATCTGGAAAATCTTGTAGAAATCTTGTGGTATTGTAAATATTAATCAGTTGGTTATAACAGGCTTTTATGGATCATAGTTTGCTTCATCAGATGAGTCACAGAAGATTTACTTGCAAAAGTTTAACATGGCTGCGCTGGAATGTTTCACTTAAAACAATGCTTATTGATCACATAGGTCTTTTTAGAATAAAAATTGAAAGTTGCTTGCAGCCAGATGTTTGCAGCCAGGTGCCCATCTAACCATTTAAAATAGAAGAGCATGAAACTGTGTACAGAACATTTTGGTAACTTAGTGTTAAAATACTAGTTATACGCTTCATGATCTAAAAATTCCAGATATGTCCACCAGTCTAAATAAAAGTTGTCTATCCTTACTATATAGCCATATGTGTCTACTTTAAACCACAAAGATACCAGAATGACTGCCTTTATGTATTTTTTGCCATACATGGCATCATAACATGCTTTTTACTTGCCTTTCCTCACCTTGTCCTTAGAACTGTACAGTATGTATAAGCAATGGTGAAATAGCTATGTATATCTATACATACTTACAAGTACAAGTACTTACAAGAAATAATGTCTGTTGTTTGTCATTATTGTTTAAAAGGCTAACAGTAGTCCCCATTTAAATTAGGTGTTTTATGCATCATTCCTGTTGAATTAGCATTATGTTGAAAGTTAATAGAATTTTGAACTTTCTGCAGGAAGATGCAGAAGTGACCAAAGTGTTTGATGAAGAAATGGAACCTCCTCCAGCAAGAAACATTCCATCTCCTGGGCAACTGGATCCTGATACTCATATTCCTGTCATTAATATAGAAGATGGGACCAGACTAGTGGGAGAAGATGCACCTAAAAACAAGGATTTAATTGAATGGCTTAAATTGCATCCCATGTATACTGTTGATATGCCAAGTTATGTACCAGTAAGTGAATACTCACCTTCTATTTTATTATTTTACCATTTTATTTATATGTGACAAAGTTCCTCGGATATTTAAAGAAAACACTTTACAATAAGTAAAGTAAGCAAACTAGTTGTAAATATTGAAAGTGTCAAATTATTTTTGTGGTCTCTGACCTATTTGAAAAGCTTAAGCTTAGATCCTTGTTTTAGAATTCTATTACTCTGTTTAGTAACAGAAGACTTTGTAAAGTCTTAGTTTAAAAATATTACTGTTAAACACGTAATAGTCTTGATGCTACTGTTAATGTTTATTTCAATAATAAAATATACTGTACATATAGTTTTATAAATTAAGCATTCATGTCTAGGAAATAATTGCCCTTTTTCCTTTCTTTAGAAGAGTGCAGATGTGCTGTTTTCCCCATTTCAGAAACCGAAGCAAAAACGGCACAGATGTCGAAATCCTAATAAATTGGATATTAATACCTTAACTGGAGAAGAGAGGGTTCCTGTTGTAAATAAACGGAATGGGAAGAAGGTAATGCACTGACTAATTTCCTCTATGACTACCCATTGTTTCATTTAATTTTCAGGTAAATGCTTTTATATTACTTTCTATAAAACGGCATGCCTCAGTCATCTCAAACATTCTGTATCATTTTGTTTGAAATATCGGTATTGAATCAACGATCTCCTTCATTGAAGATTTTCTGGAGGAGGCCAGATCGTTTCTAGTTTGACTTCTTATTTCTCTTTAGTTTTTCACATCATGGGATAGGAGAAATCTTGATTCTATTAACATTTTGGATTTTAAGTTGCAATATTCTTAAACTATTTGACAATTTTTTGTACTTTATTAATAATGATTAATAAGTCATTTGTCATTCAGATTATCAGTGACAGTATGTATAAATAAATAATAGGCTAGATTTGTTAAACTGCATACATTATGAAATAGAGATCTTTTCTTTAATTAAAATTTAATATATATTATTAGATGGGTGGTGCTATGGCCCCACCAATGAAAGACTTGCCAAGATGGCTGGAAGAAAATCCAGAATTTGCTGTTGCTCCAGATTGGACTGACATTGTTAAGCAGTCTGTAAGTAATAGGAGTTTTTTTTAATTACACAGTCAGATTTATTTAGTTCAGTTTTGGTGCTATCAAACTCCAGAATTCTTTAGCCTCTCACAATATTAAAATACTGTGGGACTGTTTAAATGAGGGAACCCAGACTGTACCTAATCTGTCACCTTTTTCCACCTGCAAAAATTGCAGGATGACAGGCAGTTCCTCAAATAAGTGGGCTCCGTGTCTTTTAAGTGGGAACCAGCACTTTGAAATGCACCCAGAAGTATATTGGGTAAACAGTACAGCTTGTTAAACAGATCAGCATACCACTGCTCAGATTGCTGCACTGTGGACCAGGTGCAGCTTCTGAGCGCATTGGTGACAAAGACATGTGAGACAGTGGAGAACTACACAATGAAGAAAGCATAAGTATCTATGCTTCATGTAACTTTACCATCTCTTTTTCTTTCCTATGATTTATTCATTGGTAAACCTATTCACAGGTGAAAAACTCAGCACCATATTCCCATGTAGTTCCCTCAGTTATGCTGTTGATGTTTAGCAATGTCATATTTTGGAGTAAAAGAAAACCAGAAGACGTATATAATGCTTCTGCAATGCTTCACACATCTATTTTACCTCTTCATATCCCCAATTGAAAAGAATCAGATAGAAAATTTCAGTCATGCTCTTTGGACATTACATCTTGCTTCTCTTACAATTGTGTTCCTTGGATTTAATCTGATGTTAAAAACCTAATTTTTTATTAGGGATAACTTTTATAACTCATAGATTTTAAGATCAAAGGTAGACAAATAAGATGAGTAAATGGACCCCTTTATTATATACAATTGTGAATCATATAAGCAGCATGATGTAAAATGCTCAGTATAAAGGCATCATTATAAATGAAAGCATAATTGTATGCTTGTGCTTTTCTCCCCACTTCCACTCCCACCCACCCCCCCATCATCTAGGGTTTTGTTCCAGAATCCATGTTTGACCGTCTTCTCACAGGTCCCGTGGTGCGAGAAGAGGGTGCAAGCAGAAGAGGGAGAAGGCCAAAAAGTGAAATTGCCAAAGCAGCTGCAGCAGCTGCTGCTGTAGCTTCAACATCGGGAATTAACCCACTGATAATGAACAGTCTGTTCGCTGGAATGGATCTCGCAAGCCTTCAGAATTTACAAAACCTACAATCTCTCCAACTTGCAGGTCTCATGGGCTTCCCTCCAGGACTGGCGACAGCTGCTGCTGCTGCTGGAGGTGATTCTAAAAATCCAGCTGCTATGCTGCCTCTGATGTTGCCAGGTATGGCAGGGTTGCCCAATATGTTTGGACTAGGTGGATTGTTGAATAACCCAATAACAGCTGCTTCTGGAAACACCACTATGGCTTCCAGTCAAGGAGAAAGTGAAGATGGCACTTCAAAAGTAGAAGAAAAGAAGAACGAGAACGAAGAGGAGAACAAAGACTCTGAGAAAAGCACAGACGTTGTTTCAGCTACTGACTCTGCAAATGGATCTGTTGGTGCAACTGCTGCTGTGGCCTCTGCTACCACCACAAGCAACACTGGATTGCCTGCCAACCCTCTAACCTTCAATCCTTTCCTTCTGTCAACGATGGCCCCTGGTCTGTTTTACCCTTCTATGTTTCTACCTCCGGGATTGGGAGGATTGACACTACCTGGTTTCCCAGCATTAGCGGGACTTCAGAATGCAGTGGGCTCCAGTGAAGTGAAGGTTACGGATAAAACTGAAGAAGCTGCCTTTAAAGATGAAGAAAATCTAGAGGGCAGTGATGCAGAGGAGAGCCTTGATAAAACTGCAGATTCCTCTGCTTTAGAAGATGAAATAGCACAGGGTGAAGAATTAGACTCACTTGATGGGGGGGATGAAATAGAAAACAATGAAAATGATGAATAAGCAGTACAAGTTACTGTTCAAGTGTTTTAAACTTTTGACAAGTGGTAGTCCTACTGTTTACACTCACAGTTAATGTCCATACTTAGTTTTATAAGCTGTTCTGTAACATAGTGTAGCAAACAAAAAGTCATGTTATACAGATGAGTCAAAAGGTATCTTGGTCATTAAGTATTGTGCAGTGCATTATTTATTATCCCTAGAAGAGATGAAATGGAGAGGTGACCTTATCTTTTTAAGGAAATTGATATAATGCTCTGCTTTTTTTTCCTTTTGGTACCATTGGTATTATAAAGCAGCAACTTGTAATAGAGTGGCACTAAATAGAAGGAAGTGCTGCTGAAAGGAAGTATGAAGTTATATATTTAATTATTAATTTTTAATTTTTTGCTGTGAAGGTCAAGATAAATTTTAACATGCATATCATTCTTACATATCATTTTGACTGTATGGAAATTCACTCGTGCACAAAATGTGCACATGCACACCCACACATATATACACACATTCTCTGACAATCTCCATGATAGTGTGAATGTCTCTCTGTCTTGAGACACAGCAATAATAAGGCAGCTGTTGAATGTGAAGAGTACCTTTTGGAAATTACCCATTGAAAAGGTTCTTGCAGGATAAAACTACAGTTAAATCGTCTCGTGATTTTGTAATGCACTGGTAAAACAATTTTTTTTAAAAATCAGGTACCTTTTTAAATTAAAGGACTTTGTTACTTTAGCCACAAAGCTAAACAGATTACCTCAACTCTAAAGTAGCCTTGAAGTTTACAGACATGACTTTGTAAATGTATGTTTTTCTTTTTTTTTTTTGTGATGTTTTTTTTTTCCCCCCCCCCCCCCACCTTGGAAATTGCTATCATGTAAGATAAGATGTAAATTGCTGCCAACTGTAGTAATGATGCTTTTAATAAAAGTGACTCATGATATGTAAGGTGTAATTCCTAGAATATAGTGATCACAACTGATTCATGCTCAACAGAAACAAATATATCACTGCAGTCTTTCCCCTGTATCTTTCTTTACCAGCTTTTCTATCTCCAAATATACTAAATTAGTTGTCTGGGAAAAGACAAGGGGAAAAAAGCCTGAATTATACTCATATTGTTCAACCCTTACTGAAGCTTCAGAAAGATGCACAAAGACCTGCATTACTCCCTCAACATATTTTCAAATGTGTTCTGTGTGTGATAATGTGGTACATTAAAGAACAAAAGGGTAAAAGAAAAATGAGGCTTTGATAGGCATGATATCTAGGTCATTTATCCTTGGTTAATGGGTAGAAAAATACAATACTGTAGTTTGAGGAAGGAACATAAAGGCACTGTGGTGGGCTGTAGATTAATGTCTGTGATGCTAGAAAGCCCTGTCAAACATCCTACAGGAAACTAAAACTGACCCACTTTATAGAACACCTAAGCTGCTTCTGAAATGCTGCTGGTTTGCACCTTTTTATGACCTTGGATAATGTAGCTTTTGAGAGTTATGCTTTCACAGTGCTGTCACCAAAATGAACATATAGCAACCCTGCCATGAAGTTAAAGAGGTAGGCATTTCACCTTGGAAAGAAGAAAGAGAATTCACCAGGATGCTCAGTTCCATTGATTGATCCATTAGATCAATCCTTTAGACTACTTGAGAATACTATAACAATTATCAGGAAAACAAAAAATAATCATTTAAGCTAGCTAGCTGTGTATATTTCTATAGTTCTGTTAATAGCTGCTAATAAAGTTTAATGAGACTATTTTTTAAAATAACCAGTTCAGTTAGAATTGAGTGTGGAGAGTGAAAGTGTTGCCATAAACAAT